ATGCAGCCTGGTCCACTTCAAATTATTTGCTTTGGGACAGAACCATCATTTTGGGATAGTCAGCTTCAATTTCACTGACCATATTGCCAGTTACATTCTTTTGTGCCAGTCTTTCTGTTTCATGTAAAGCTTCACCATTCACTTCAGGTGACTTTTAGCGCAACAGAAGGAGCTCTGGATACTGAAGCGATGAGTCAGGCCATCGAGTCAAATGAGCATTGAATTCTTAGGTTTCAGAAATGGTTTCTACAAGGCCAACTCACTTAAAAGGCTACCAGAATAGGGAGGGGCTAACCTGGTTGGCTGGAAAAACTGGCCTGTGTGATCAATCAGATGGTTTCTATATGCCAATAATTTCAATCAATTTGTGGGAATTAACTGAGTTGTGAATATCACTAATCTTTGCATAGATAAACTTTCCCTTGGAAAGATACTACATGCTTTATCATTAACAAGGAAATGTCTTAAAAGTAAACAGATTTGGCCCTCCCTGGTGGCGCAGCCGGTTAAAGCACAGCACTAAGAAGCTAAAACCATTTCAGCATGAGTTCAATCCCCACCCCAGAGGTGATCCACAAGGCGTAGCAGACCTCTCCTGACCTGCCCGCTGCTCCCCTCAGCAGTGTACTTCGTAGATCTGCTTGTTCTGTACCCCACTCTGTGTCTGGTGAATCCTCTCACCCTCTGCATCTCTGGCCTGTACCCCAGTTCTGTACGAATAAATAAATAAATCTTAAAAAAAAAAAAAGTAAACAGATTTTAGAATGTTGGACTTGCCACTTTTAGAAGTAAAATACTTGAGAAACAGAAAGGAGAATATATGGTATCTTACTGATTTATTCTGATTACTTGAAGAAAAGGATTAATTATCCACATTTAAATCATCTCATTGTTACAAGTTTAGTTTTAAAAATGAGCTCTTGGTTGAAAAATCTGAATCACCAAAATGGCACCCAGCATTAGGTCATCTTCCTTGTTCCTTCTCTCTCCCTAGAATAAATAATCTTGTCTCCTACCAAGGTTCAGTTAGCAAGGTTAACCTAAGCAGGAAGTCTGGGGCTGCAAATCACCCTTTACCACAAAAAACAAAACAAAACAAAAACAGTCTAAACAGGCAGCCAGAAATCCTAAGGGGGAAGTGGGGGGGTAGTTTTATTCAGTATTACCAGTCCTCATGCTGAGATTCTTTCCTTCCGGGATTGTTTCCCACCAGGTTTCTTTGTGAAGTCAGGAATAATAAATCCTAGTTTTCCTTTAATGAAGCCACAGCTTTTATGAAAGCTGTAGCAGTCTAGGTAGTATATATCAATAGTACCAAGGCCTTTATATTTGCATATGAAGTAGAGATGTCTATTCCTTATGCTTCCCCCCCCACCCCCTCCCATTTGATTGTTTATTTCCAATTAGAAAGCTGAGGTGCTGAGGTTCAGAGGTTCAGGACAATTCAAATTATTCAATGCATTTAATATACCATCCCAAATGAATCGGGAAGTTGAGACTCAAAGTCAGGCATTCTGTTTCATGGACTAGTACATTTGCATTACATTTTATTTATCTAGTTTTGTATTCCTGAGGACTAGTACTCTGCCTGACACCTACTGTATTTATTAATTTTTTTTTTAACAAAGAGTCAGGATTTATGGCCAAAACCCATCATTTACAAGGAGAAAGATATCCTGAAAGTTGGAATTTTGGTGCCTTGATGAAGCTCAGGAAAGTCTGATGAATTTCCTGATGAAGCTCAGGAAAGTCTGAACATTAATTATTTAGGGAAGCATTGCAGCAGCCACTTGGGAATGCTCTGTTTTCTTTTCAAGGTAGAAGCTTAAGTTTGAGTAGGTTTGCAGAACACTCTTCAAGAGTCACTCATTGAATGAAGGCATTGTTTTCTTGTGGGTGTAGTGCTCCATATTTCCTGCTCTGTGCTCACCTTCTAGTTTCACAGTTTCAGATGCCCCTGAAGAGAATAGGTTCCCTGTGAGCCTTCATGGGACTAGAGGACAGAGTAGTACTCAACCCCACTGCACCTCTATCACTGTGCTGTAGAACAAATTATCTCCTAATGAAATAAAGTCCTTAATGACAGCCAGATTTCTGATGCTTCACTTGCCCTCTACTCAGGATTTCTGGCTGCCTGCTTAGGCTGGTTTTGGTAGTAAAGGGTAATTTGCAGCCCCAAACTTCCTGCTTATGTTGTAGCTGTGCATGATGCAGTAAAGTCACCCTGAAGAAATTTTTGGAAAGACTGAAAGGTAGCTGAGAAACAAAGGGTGATTATTCTAGAGAAGCATATCTCCTAATAACTAATATATACAGCTGTAGCAAAGTAAACCAAAGTAAAGTCAGACACATCGAATCTGGAGAAAGGCTAACAATAAAACAGAATTAAAAGTAAAGAGCATATTAACAACCAACCAAGAAAAATGCTGGCAGAGTTAAAAGAGAGTTAAAACATTTTCCTGTTTTCTGCCCCAGAATAATACCGTTGTTATAAGGATGTATTTTGAAAATACTATGTTTAACTATTGAGCCAATATTTTTTAATCATTGCTTTCCTTTATCTTAAAAGATAAGCAAATTAAAAATTTTAAAGGACTTCATATTGAACAACTTGATCAGTCTTTTCTCCTGTTCTGAACAGAGAGGGCCTGCCAAGAGCAGGAAATTCAACACCAATTACAAAGTGTTCTTGTCTTTCTCTTCGAGTTCTGCTCACCATTTAAGAAGCTGCCTGTTAAACGGTACTGTATCATATAGTATACATTTTGCATAACTGTCGCAGCTCAGCTGTTACATTTTCTCTATTCTTTTAAAAATCTACCACATAACTTGACATTTCCTCTTTCACATCGCTAGTTTTATAGCTTATGTTCCTTTTCTACCTTTGCCTCCTTGGAAATAAGGTCTCTTCTCGCTTCATGTTTGAGTCACCAACTCTTTCTCCTGTTTTCCACCCAGCTGTTTTCTCTCTATCCCTGGACTCTGTCCACCGAGCTGCTTCAGGCCTCTACAATGAGCTGTCAGCTCTGTAATTCTAACCTTAGCTCTATTTTTCATGTTAGTTGCATGCCCTCCTGATTTTCAGCTAGAAGTATATACCAAATAAGAGTAATAGTTTTAATAATGCTTAAGAGATCCAACAAGCATCAAGTAAAATTATGCAGTCTGTAAATGATTTAAAAGTAATCTGTTAGCATAATTTTATTCATTTTTCAAAGGCTACACTGAAATAGGATTAGCTCGTGGAGATCCCTTCCCCCGTTGCTCTGTTGCTTCAGATGCTTGTGTTCAGTCTCAGCTAATACGCAAAGGGATCTCTTTCTAAAATTCCTTGGCTGCTCTGTTAAGAAGTGAAAGCTAGTGCTAAAGCTGTTATGTGCCTTCTCATATTTTACAAGTAACAAAACAATTCACAGGACACACAGAGAAGGACGGAAAAGAGAAATTTGTGCCTAGGAACTGATTAGATTAAAACTCGCAAATGTGGGGGGGGAGGAGGGGGGGGAGGGAAGTGCACGGGATTTTGGTGATGGCACACGGGTGACATGGTGATGGGAAACCCGCGGGGATGACAATTGAGGTGGGAAAAAAATCTACATAATGATGTAAAAATAAACTTATATAAAAAAAAAAAACTCGCAAATGGGCCTTTGTATTTCTTTGACCGGCAGCTGGGTTTAAAAAAAAAAAAAAAGGGAGGGAGCAGGGCGAAAACCTAGAAACTACAAATGCCGGAGAGGACAGTCTCATCTCTCCCCAAAGATGAGTTTCTCCAGCTCAGACTGCTGTTTCGCCCAGCCTCATGGAGCTGTGTCGCCTGTTACTAACAACACTAATTACAATGGACAATAAATGGTCGTTTATGGGTGACCAAAGATCAAGTAGCTTCTCAGGTCTTTATTAAAACAACAGCACAATTACCACCTTTGGAGGTATGCTAGTAATTATTAGACGTTTATGTGCCCTCACGGTGTGCAGAGTGTTTTCAAGTCCCTCCCTGAACATTTACATTCATTACGGAATATTTCATGGTACACACATAATCGAGCTCTCGTGTGCTCATCACCCAGCGTCAGCTACTCTCGACTTTTTGCCAAGCTTGTTTCGCCTGTCCTGTCCTGTCCATTTTCAGTTTTCGTCGTAAAACATTTTAAAGCAAAAACCAAAACATGACATATTTTACTCAATATTTCAGTCAGCATCCCCCAAACATACAGTAACTATGCTGGTTATCGGCTAAACGGACTCGCAGAACAAAATTAAGAATGAATCTAGGAAACTCTCCCGGGGTGGTCGGGCTGGGGAGTGCGAGCTGAGGGTGGCACTGGTCCCAGGAGCGGCGAACGACAGGGCACAGCCCCTCAGGCCGGGTCAGTGAGGTCCTCAGCGACCACCCAGGCATGCGCAATGCAGACCCCAGAGTTGCTAAGGCCCTAAGGAAGATAGAAGCGCAGCATACGGAGCAAGCCAATGAGAGGGCGCAAAGACTAATCAGATAGCCAATCCAGATTCGTGAATCAATCAGAGCCTCAGCGTTCGGCTTCCCCGCCCCAGTAGCCAATCGGAGAGCCGGCTACTTTGGGCGGACTTTTCAAAAGGGCGAAAACAAAACAAATCGGAGACCTTTAAAAGGTGTGATGCGACCAGAAATTATGTCCTTCCGCCCACAAATGTATCTCTGCTTTTCCTTCTCCCTCCAGATCAATCACGGCAAAGCCCGACGCCCCAGATTCTACCCTCTGCGCTGATAGGAAGAGGGAGGGGTGGCTGAGCAAGCAAAAATGAGCAGAGTAGGTCACGAACCAGCTCGATGACAGAGGCCTAGGGGAGGGACTCTTTTTCGAAGTCTCATTTGGTAGCAGCAGATCCCTCCGCGGGGAGTCACGTGCCCCGCCCCCTTGGGGGCGTCGGAAACTCAAAACAAAAACAAGGGGTTTGCTGGGGCCTCTGCTTTGGTAGCGGCGGCGGCGGCGGCGACCGTGCCGGTTCAGGGGCAGAGTCTGAGGGCCCGGCGCTGCGCCCCAGCTGGAGGGTGGGCGCGCGGGGAGCGGCATGAATCTGGGGCTGTGAGGCCGAGGTGGCGGTGGTAGGGGAGAAGGGTCGGATGCGGGTCCGGGGGCAGCGCTGAGGCGGCGACCCCGACCTCTGAGACGGGTCCGGACGCCCCTGCCCTGCCCAGTCCCCGCCGGAGCGCGACGCCGCGGGCCGGCGAAGGCGAGTCTCTGGCACGGTAAGTGGGCCCACTGGGCTCGCGGGGTTTCTTTGTTCGTGATCGGAACTTGGAGCGGGGAGAAGGTCGGAGTGCGTACCCCTCAGCCCGGAAGACGCTCGGGTTCTGCGCTTCAGCCCCAGGGGAGTGGACGCCCAGAGGTGGAGAGATGCTGGCTGCCGGTGGGGCGGATGGAAGCTAGAGGCGACCGAAGATGATACTTTGCTGCTCCCCGTCCCCATTTTGTCTGGGGGCTCGCTGGGCTGGGGCTCGGGGACTGACAGCACCCGGGCTCCACAGTTGCAGCTCGGGGCGGCAGTGGATGGACGGTGCATTCCGGCGCGGGGCCTCTGGGCTGTGTCCCCCGACCCGGCGTGGGCTGCACCCCCACCCCACCCCGCGCCCCGGGCCGGGACCTCTGCCTCTCTGGTGTGCGGGAGTAGGCGCTGCGGGAGCGGTGAGGGGAGGCTGGGAGCTGGGCTGCGGCAAGGGGGCTGCTGGAGCGGTGCTCCCGAGAGGGGCGGGGCTCGGAAGTCTCCTCCCCCCGGTTCTTTGTTCAGTCGCGAGACTGTCTTTCCTCCTCCCTATTGTGCAAAGCCCCCACCCCAGACCCTGCTGCTGCGGCACCCGGTGCCCTTCCCCCTGCAGAAGCACCTGCCCCACGGCTTTTGCTGGGGCGGTCGGGACACCGCGGCTCGGGGACAGTTTCCTGTTTGTGAAACGTCCTCGGGGCTGGCTGGTCTGACCCAGCTCTGGCCGGTTCTTGGACGGCGGTGCCCCTCCTCCTGCCACACCTCCCTGGCGGTGGGGGATGGTTGCTTTGGGGTTTTGGATGTGACCATCCCCTCGTCCTCTCCTCCCAGGGGTATGCCGGGACGCCCCCTCCCTGGAGGTAATGGCACCAGTTCTTTTATACCCTCTTTTCCACCCCTCCGGGACGCACTTTAACTGTCTGATATTTTTGCTGCAGATGAAGGATTTGAGAGTAGAGTACTTGGCATGTGGTGAAGGAGTCCAGCTCTTTGGATTGTTGAACCTCTACCTAGAGCAAGAACAGAGGTTCCAACCTCGAGAAAAAGGACTGAGTTTGATTGAGGCCACACCCGAGGTACGTCTCCCTGGGAAGGTAACTTGCTCAAGGAGTTGTTAGTACTTGGATGATAACTGGTTCTTCTTTATTGTCTTTTTTTAAGTCAAGGTTGCAAAGTTTCTTAAGACACAAATCTCTCTTCCTGTAATACTACGATAAATCTTAATATACAGGGTTTTGCTTTTGCTTCTTAACAAGAATGAGAGTGATGATCAACTCTAGAGAAGTGTTTCCTCAAATGTGGTGCTCCTGGCCTACAGCTTGTGGGTGGGAGACTCCCTGGGAATTGTGAAGTTCATTTCTGGAAATCCCCTCCACTCGAAATACTTATTTGTAGTAAGCTCTTAAGTGACTTAAAAAAAAAACAAAACAGGTAGCACTTTATCTCTGTAATGAGGGAATTGGGTTATATATACGTGTGTACACATACATACATATATATATGCCCTCTGAAGTTGTGAAGTTGTGACAATGGTTAACTTTATATTGAATTGCTAAAACTATTATTTATATTTGCAAAAAGCCATGATATATATGTATTTTGTATTTAAAAAAGTGTATATTTTTAATTAAGAAACACTACTCTTAACTCCCATGGCCTTGAAGATTAAGAGGGGGAAATTACCTTATTTGAATATGTGTATTTAGTGGGGAATAAAGTCTAAAACTTTGGCTCTTGATTTTCTTTGCAGAATGATAACTCTTTGTGTCCAAGATTGAGAAATGCCAAAGTAGAAGATTTAAGGAGCTTAGCCAACTTTTTTGGATCTTGCACTGAAACTTTTGTACTGGCTGTCAATATATTGGATAGATTCTTGGCTCTTATGAAGGTATTTAATCATTTTTATAAAATTACGTTTTCTATGCCTGGTATCTAGCATAATTCTTATCACCCAAGGATTCCATAACAATCTTGCATTCACTTGCCAAATATTTACTGAAGAAACATTCTTAATAATCGTGGGTAACAGTTCAGTGCGAAATTAAGAGTACAAATTCTAATGTATTTTTTTCTTAAAGTAGGTTTTGTTGTATCTCTTACAAACTTTCCCTTTGTGGTTAAAATGAAGATGACTTTTTAGGTATCCTTTATATAGGAACACAGTCATCAAATAAGGTTTTCATCTTCCATTGTGTTTCTGTTGGACCCTAGATGTTTTAAATCTCAAACAATGGAAGCATGCTAAAGGTGACCTACAATTTTCTTGATGAGAATTCTTTTCAAAGCAGGAACCACCTTCTTAATAACAGTTACAGGCCAGCTGTTAAAAAAATGTGGTGATTCTTCTGCCAATGGGATTGCTGTCAGCTGCTGGGTCATTTTTCAGGGCACTGAGAAGAAAAGGAAAGCCATCTGTCCATAGCAGCTTTTCATTTGCTTCATGCTTCACAATTGATGCACCATTTCTCTTGGGCAAGCCTCCACTGAAGCATGAATGTAAAGATAAATAGATAAGATAAAGATAAAGATTAGAATGTATTATTTTATCTGGGAGATTATACTATTACAGATTTCCTATTTGAGATACAAAGTAGTATAATTTATTGCTAAAAAAATTACATTTAAAATTTTTACCTATTTTTAAACTAAATTTAAATGTAAAGAGTGCATTTTTTTCCCTTAAAAGAGAAAAAAGGTTAGAACAGCTTAAGATGCAAAAAAAAAAAAAGTGTAATTGTGGAAAAGGAGGATAGAGTAATAGCCTGTGTTCTGTTTTAGGACTACTAAGTACATCATTAATATATTCTTCGAAGTGTCTGCTTTGCTAAATCATAGTGACAATTGATAGAAGAAATCTTTTGTTCTTTGTTTTTCAGGTGAAACCTAAACATTTGTCTTGCATTGGAGTCTGTTGCTTTTTGCTGGCTGCTAGACTAGTTGAAGAAGAATGCAATATTCCATCCATTCATGACGTGATCCGCATTAGTCAATGTAAATGTACTGCTTCGGATATAAAACGGATGGAAAAGATAATTTCAGAAAAATTGCACTATGAATTACAAGCTACTACTGCCTTAAACTTTTTGCACTTATACCATACTATTGTACTTTGTCATACTTCAGAAAGGTTAGTGGGATTAAAAAATTAAAATTTTGTATTTTTACATTGAAGTAGTTAACAGTGAATTATTGGAGTGCCAATGAATTTATATTTACTCTTCTGCTAAACTTTCAGTTTGGATTTTTTTTTAAAGGTTTATTTATTTGTGCATACAGAACTGGGGTACAGGCCAGAGGTGAGAGGTAGTGAGAAAATTCACCAGAGACAGAGTGGGGAGCAGAACAGGCAGATCGTTGAAGTACACTGCTGAGGGGAGCAATGAGGGGGTGGTCAGGAGAGGTCTGCCATGCCATGTGGGTCACCTCTGGGGCAAGTGGGGATCAAACTCATGCGGAAGTGGCTTTAGCTTCTTAGTGTAGTGCTTTAGCCCGCTGCGCCACCAGGGAGGGCCCCAGTTTGGATTTTTAATGCCAAGTCATTAAAATCATTTAAGGCTTTGAGAGTTTAATAAATATTTTCTCATTTTCGTTGTATAGGAAAGAAATATTGAGTCTTGATAAACTAGAAGCTCAGCTGAAAGCTTGTAGTTGCCGACTTACCTTTTCAAAAGCAAAAGTAAGTTGATTTCCTGCTGCATGTTTCATAATTTCTATTTTGAATTGAAAAAGCATTTATTTTTTTACTTTTATTCCTTGTAGCCATCTGTATTAGCCTTGTGCCTTCTCAATTTGGAAGTAGAAACTTTGAAATCTATTGAATTATTGGAAATTTTACTGCTTGTTAAAAAACATTCCAAGGTAAGTATCTTTCTTTATTCTTTAAAGCAAGTGTCCATTGTAATGTTTTATTTATTTTTTCCTGGGATGACTTAAATGTTAAGGTAGTAATGCATTTTTTCCCTTGTATTTCAAATGTTGAACTTCTCAAAATGTAGCTTTGACCTAATAGTATTAAGTTGGAAAGGAATCCAGTCACTTAGACTAACTTTCAGCATTCAGACATGCCTTCTGTAGTGTTCTTAACGGTTGGTAATGTAGTGGTCTACATTGGCACAGACACATAGTTCTAAAAGTACATACTAGGAAGTAAACTTAGTAAACATACTAATTGCATCCCATTACCATTTGTAGGGCTGAATGAATCATCACTAGTAGCATTACCAAAATAATACCAGCTGTGTTTTTCTTTTATAACCCCTTAGGCAAGCCCAGTCCATTTTTGCAGTCATTTAAGAGGTTTAAAACAAACTATAGCACAGGATTTTTTCCCTTAAACTAGTGCTCAAGTTGGAGAAATAGGGAACTTAACATGAGGTGATGTGTTCTGTTATTTATTGTTCTGTTTCAGGCCAGATAATATCCAGCATAAGGAGAATTTTGAGGTTTTGTTAGCAGAGAAGTAAGGCAGACTGAGAGCACTATGCCTAAGAGTCTGGTTTGACCAAAAGAACCTTAGTGAAAGTTTAAGAAGCAAATGCTACGGCCAGGGATTTGGTGGACTAGAGGGATTTGAGTTTCATTTTAGAATTGGCTTGTAGATAGAATATCTAGTAGTCACAAGTAGAAGTAAGGACATTTAACTCAAATTTAAGACTTTGAAAGCAAAGCATGAAAATGAAGTAAAGATCCACAAATGATCAAGATTTAGACTTGAGGATAGAGAGACTATTGGCCCCATTGAGGGAATTTTGTGAGAAGTTAATTTATCTTCAAAGAGTATGATTTTAGGTAATTTTATACCTTACAGGTAAATAGATGTGTAGTAGTTACTTGGCAGTCTAGAAAAAAACTCAGATGATAATTCATATTTGGAGGTTGGCTTTGAAATTTCTCATGGGGAAATAATAATTACAACCTCTATTATAAGAAATGAAGGGGAGGAAGGGGAGTTTGCTTAGAGGTTAACTGAAACTGGATTTTTAGCATTGGTAGTTTCCCCATTTGGAACCAAGTGAAGGGGAATGTCCTCTAGAAAAGTAAGACCCGTGGGGAATGTCCACTAGAAAAGTAAGACCATGGGGATTTGCAAGAGGTTTTCAAAAAAGAGGTGGTTGAGAGTGTTGAGTTTTGATGAGAGCGCCAATATAATGAGAATTGAAGGAAGGTCCTTAAGGTAGTTTGGAAGTAGTAGTGGAGTTAGAAGGGAGTGGTTGAAACCAGACTGCTAGGGGTTAATATGTAGCTGGATTAAGGTGGAAATGGAGGCCAAGATGATAGAAAATTTTCCTATTAGTGGTAAAAAAGCATGAAATGTGAAATATTTTGTTTTTGACAGATAACTCCTATGTTTTGTTAGTTTAAATGTATTTGCTTTATTCTAAACCTTTTATAACATATTCTGTGAAAATTGATTTTGTGAAGTTGAAGCACTCCCTAGAGATGAGGAACTGTGTGTTTTGGGGGGGAAATTTTTCTCCTCATAATTGCTATGTTAGCATATATATGATATCTGGTGTCTTAATTGTAAATGCATATTGTTAGCAGTCCAAATACTGTTTTGTTACAGTATCCTAAATTGTTAAATTCCTTTGCATTGAGACTGCTAGAGATTGTATTTTAAATGATCTGTTAACAGATCTAGTATTTTTAGGTCACCAGGAAGATAGGCAAAGCTTTCCATATATTGAATCCTATATAAATTATTTATACCTGTGCTGATGTTCCTCTAAACCAGTCATTATTAAATTTTGGCTGCACATTAGACTATCCTGGAGAGCTTTAAAAAAATCTGGTGCTCGGGTAGCAACCCATATCAATTAAATAAGAGTATCTAGGGATGGGAGCCAGACATCAGTATGCTTTAATGATGACAAAGTGATTCCAAGATAGCAGCAATGTTTGGGAACCATTGTTGTAACCTTGTCTTTAAAATATTTTTCAGGTTAATGACACTGAATTCATTTACTGGAGAGAATTAGTTTCTAAATGCCTAGCAGAATATTCTTCTCCTGAATGTTGCAAACCAGATCTTAAGAAATTGGTTTGGATTGTTTCGAGGCGCACAGCCCAGAACCTCCACAACAGTTACTACAGTGTTCCTGAGCTGCCAACAATACCAGAGGGAAGTTGTTTTGATGAAAGTGAAAGGTAAGCGAGTTTCGTGATGAATCAGAGTGCCCCAGACTAAATATTATTGATTTTATATTCAGAATGGAACAATGGGTATTATAGGGCTTCAGAGAAAGCGCTTACTCTAATAGAAGATGAAAAAATTTACTGAAAGTATTTTTTATTAAAATAAGTAATAATTTAGAAGTGTACTCCTTCTCCTTTATTGAAAACAACAAAACACCGTGCTGTACTTTACATCACGAGGAATTACATGTGAAAGTTTTTATCTTTTGACGACCTTGGACTACGCCTACGTTGCCGCCTGCCATTCCCTCTCCCCACCCCAATGCCTTGTGACCTACCTCTGGTAGCTGCCACCAACCTATCTCTGAATCTTTCCAACCTATCTCTGATTCTTTGTTCCGTTTTTTTCAAAGATCCACATATAAGTGAGATCAAATAGCATTTGATCTTATTTATTATCTGATTTAATATTTACAATACATATAAGATATATACATAATAGACAGCATATATATAAGTATGAATATTAGTTAGAGATAATTATTAACATCTCTGACTTATTTCATTCTGCCCTTTAAAAAAATTGGTTATTGCCCATCTCCTTTAACCTTTGAAATAGTTAAAAAAAACGAACTGAAACAGCTTTGTGGACTTCTTAATATTAGTGTAAATTTAAAGTTAGTATGCTACTATGAAAAGAGACAGGGTAAATGACTAGGAAGTAAAGAAAATCACCACAAAGAGTATTTTAACATTTACAGTTTAGATTTAGTTTATCGAGCCATTTTCTCATTCCTAGTTGATTTTTGTGAAGTGACTTACTTTATTAAATATGATTATTTTATGCTATAGAGATAACGGACCGGAAGTTCCATTTTCATAGTGCACTGGCCTTTTGGTTTAATATTTGAGAGTACTGCTGAAAGGAAGATGCCAAAACCATGCAATAGAGGATATATTATTGGCCTTAGTCTGTATTTATTGGATTCAAAATTCAAGATCTAGTTGCTGATGGTTATTAATTGGTTTAATAATAGTTTGACAAATAGAATTTGTTAAAAAGCTCTTCAGATACCATATTCTAATGGGGTTATAATAGACTTCACTTTGGTGGTTTTTAGAAGTTTTACTTCTGTAAAGCTTAAATGTAATTACAAAAATAAATCCTAAGACCAGAGAGAGACTTGTTTCACAGTTTGTTTTGCCTGTAAAGTGTGTTTTAAGTAATGGATTTTTCTTTGCCTTCTTCTTGTCAGTGAGGACTCTTGTGAAGATATGAGCTGTGGAGAAGAGTGTCTCAGCAGCTCTCCTCCCAGTGATCAAGAATGTGCTTTCTTTTTCAACTTCAAAGTGGCACAGACTTTGTGCTTTCCATCTTAGGAATCTAAATTGTCCTGTGGCAGAATTGAAAGTGTCTGTAGGTTTTAAAGCAATAAATGGGGGTGTAGGTAGTTTCCTGGTCTAGCCCCCGCCTCTAGTCAGGAATTGCATAGACTGGAATACCTATCTTCTGTTTATTATTCAGATCAGATCTGGCCTATTTTCATATTTAATCCTAAGCCATCAAATGGGTTAGTGCCTCTAAAACAGTTAACAGTACTTCTGACATTGGCACTTTATTTTTCTCGTTGATCTTTTAGCTACTTGGGGAATGAGGAAAGGTGCTGAAACCTTCAATTTATTACTTTTCAACAAGACTTTTAAAGATGAATAGTATAGCTTATCTTAAACTTTGTAAGTCTTCAGGTGTCTATTTAAACAGATTGGGAGTGTGCAAGTGCTTCCTTAGCAGGGACAATGGATAACTTTAATGTTTATCGTAGCTCTTTCTCCCCTTCCCATTCTCAGAACAGAGAATATGTCAAACACTTTTTTGTTGATTTTTAAGTGATCAGTATACTATCTGATGCAGACTATAAAGCTAGGAATTATGTATTCACATTTCTATGAATTTTAGTAGGTAATGTTAAATGAGGGTTTTGCTACAGCAAAAATAATTGACAGGCTAAGGTTGTTAGTCACATTCCTCATGCCTAATGCCTAAGTATTGTCAAACTATAGTATTATTTTAATGTTATTAAAACAATCCATAATCTGCTAGTTTTGCATGCACCTGTATGAAAGCAGTGCAGCAAGTTGAACAGAACTAGGTAACTATGGAATTGATAAATGTTGATTGAGTAATGCATCTTTTCTTATATTAAAAAAAGTCTGCATGTTTATGTTTTTTTCTTTGTAATTCACATTTCAGATAATGATATTACAGTATGGGTGCCAAGAATGAATATGAAGTTAAAAAGAAAACTGTGTTTGTAGTAGTAGAGTTTGAAGCATTTTGGTGTGGTAGTACCACCATAAGAATAGAAATTTATAAAACTGTATACATGAGATTTTGTACAGAGAATTTTTTAACTTTATAAGCTGTATATGGAAGTGTAAATTTTTTAAAATGTACATAAAATACTGTATTTTTTTACTTTGTGTGTGTGATAGTCTTGTCATTGCATGTAAATATAATTTATTGTGCTCTGTATTATAAATACACATTGATGACTTTTTTACTGGTAATTCAATGTCCATTGGATGCTTTCTGAAGTGGTTATTTTTGAAGTATTGATCGTAATTCCAAATAAAAATAATGAATTGTACTCCTTTTTGTATCACATCTTAATTTTAAATGTTTGGGAAAAAGAGAAAAAGTGCTTGATGTATTTCAAAGAGATGGCTTCACATTTGCCTTGGATTTCTTTCAAAATAAGCCCACTATCCAGATACCAGAAGTCCTTCAGGTGATGTTTCCTCAGCACAGTTTGGCCTTTAGCCTTATAGATACTGAAAGTGTATCTGTCACTTGAGAGTTGAACTTTCTCTGGGGTGAACTCGTTAAAAGAGTTAAGTATTAACTCTGAATGCCAGTCAGTTTATAGTGAAAGGCAAATAGGTATTGAATAAACCAGAATACTCAGGTCATTATACTCTGCAGACAAGCCAAATTCCAATAAGGTTACTTGGTGAGTAAACATCAGTTATCTGTCTAGACCCTGCCAACCTCGTGTGCGCGCGTGTGTGTGTGTGTGTGTGTGTGTTGTGCAGATGTCCTTTAGACTGATTTTAAGGACTTTTATTTTCTCTAGGAAGTCAGGCAAGCTAAAAGTGATTTTCATGTAATCTCTTCTCTCCCAGAGATAATGGTATATTTTCCTACCTTCCTAGTGGACAGTCTGCTTGAGGATGTCTCCTCCCTTCCTTAATAAATAATAGATAGTAAGCAGTATGTTCTTTTCAGATTTTGATTTCTTGAAATGTAAAAGTGATCTGAAACTTCAAATTTGAAGCCCTCTTCAATTCCTCTAAGATTTTGCTGCTTTTTTTCCCCACTAGATGTTGGTTCTGCTTGAATCTGTCTACAATGACTCATTGTACCCCTCTCTGATCATTATATTTAGTGTAGATCTCTTTACTGAGTTCCTGACCTGTTTATTCACATCTGTCCCATCCTTAGAAATCTCTGATTACCCCCAAACCTGCTCTTGTATGTCTACCTTGGCGGAAAGGTATTTCATTGTCTCAAGTTGGAAACAGGTGATATCCTCATTTCTTGCCTGTTCACTGGAGGTCACCATTTATCTTTTACATAATTTCTACTGTAGAACTCGACTTGCCTCTTGGTCCTAGCTCAGTTTAGATCTGTGTACTTGGTTAGCAGGTTTACAAAAGTCTTTGCGATCTTTTAGAGTCACTGCTCCCCTTGCTGTTTGGGTAACCTTTAAAAATGTGCAAGTTTGATTATGTCGCCTGATGAACTGTTCAATGGGTACCTCAATCAAGTTAACATCTTTATCATGATGTATAAGTCTTTTTTTTTTTTTTTAAGATTTATTTATGTATACAGAATGGGTACAGGCCAGAGGCATAGGAGCCATGAGAGGATTTAGCAGACACACAAGTCGGGAGCAGAACAGGCAGATCAATGAAGTAACACTACCATGGGGAGCAGCAGGTGGGTCTGGAGAGGTTTGCCATGCCATGTGGATCACCTCCAGGACTGGGATCTAACTCATGCCGAAGTGGTTTAGCTTCTTAGTGCTTTAATCTGCTGTGCCACCAGGGAGGGCCCGATGTGTTAAGTTTTAACCAGAACACTGCACCTGTCTTTTTTCCCTTGCCATTTCTTAGAACTAGAAAATGTATGTTAAGGTAATTGGCAGCTCTGTGGAAGATGGACTGGAGCAGGTAGATCTCGGGGCATCTGACAGGGAATCCTGCAAAAAATCGAAGAGAAGGACTGAACAAATGGGGAGGAAACAGGTGGGAATTGAGGCACTCTTCTCGTGGCATCATTAGGGGTTTTCCCTCCAATGATCCAATCAGGTGTTTTTTTTGGTGAGTGTGATGAATAAAATTCAAACCCCTTTTGGTCCATTCACAGCAAAGGGGGAAGAGAAGGCTGTCAGTTTAGTCTTACATTTGCTCCTTGATGACTTTTCACATTTCAAACCTGTCATTTCCTAGGATTATATGCATATTTTAAAAAGAGATTTATTTATACATACAGAACTGGGACCCAGCAGACCCAGTCAACCTGCAGACTCATGAATAATAATACATTGATGGTTTAGCTTTTTAGAATAGCTTGTTACATAGCAGTAGATAACAGGTTATTTATGTAGAGTTATCTCTGAGTGGTGGGACATGTGATTTTTCTATTGATACATCATCTGTAGTTTCCATTTCTTCCCTTGAGTTATTAATGTATTAGTATAATAAGGAGCTTTCAAAAAGTATTCTTTTTATATACTTTCTTCTTGGCTTCCATTGCTCCTTAGCATCAAGTTCAAAGAACTCACCATGGCTTACAGGACCCTGCACTATTGGTCCTTGCTTCCGTCTCAGCCTCATCTCTCATGGCTTAAACACACACACGTGCTTTCTAGCCAAGTTGTAGCCCTCCCACTTACCATGTTTTTCCTCACTCAAGGGACTTCATGCACACTCATCTGCCAGCAATGCTGTTCGTGTTACCCTGATCTGCTTTTTCACCTGTGGAGTCACTTGTATTACTCTCTCATTTACCCACCAGCCTCTGATGTGCCAACACCATATTAATATGTGATACATAAAGCCAAACTGCATAATATCCCTGCCCTCATGTAACTTACATTGTAGTCGCAGAACAAAATGACTCACAGTAAATAAAATTTTTAAAGGTCATGCTTTCTTCCAAGAAATCTTTTTGGAACTCCCTGGCTTTCCTTTCTTTGTCAGTGCTACATGTTTCCATAAAAAACTTTTTTCCAGCCCTCCCTGGTGGCACAGCGGGTTAAAGCACAGCACTATGAAGCTAACGCCACTTCAGCATGAGTTCGATTCCCGCCTGTCTGGGAGGTGACCACATGGCATGGCAGACTTCTCCTGACCCACCCGCTGCTCCCCTCAGCAGTGTACTTCGTTGATCTGCCTATTCTGCTCCCTTCTCTGTCTCTGGTGATCCTTTCACCCTCCATATCTCTGGCCTGTATCCCAGTTACATATGAATAAATAAATAAATCTTAAAAAAAAAATTTCCCCCTTATCTTGGCAGTTAATATTTTGTCCCCTGTCTGCTTACCTTACTTACCTTCTTTGGGAAGACAGGGATTATTGATCATGTTCATTGTTGAATCCCCAGCATCCACCATTATATCTTATCCAAACTACTGCTGCTGCTGCTGCAGTTATTGGTAAAAAGAAGTTCTACTGATGATTGAATAGCTCCAGGCACTTTAAATGAATTATTTAATCTTCCTCACAGTCTCCTGGACAACAACTGCTAAGAGTCCCACTTTACATACAAAGAAATTAAGGATTAGGGAAGTACTTTGATACATAATAAGGGTTATAATTCGAACCAAGTCTGTCTTTCAAACTGTGTTCTTAACACAATGCTAAACTACTACCCTAGTGTTTATGGCATTAACCAATTGTTGTAATGTAACTAGGGGCTGAAGTCAAAGACAAGTGGGGCCTCCTGGAGAGGGGTGCTGGTGAGGGTAAATAGACCCAAGCAAAATACGAACAAAGTTTTGGTGGGGGTGGAGTCTCTGATGAGAAATATGATGGACTGCAGAAACCACCCCCAGGATTCAGCATTTCAGATTTCAGTGCTTTAGGATCTTCAGTGCTTCGGAGGGTCATCCATTTCTACCCCCATCATGCTGATCTTCCAGGAGGCTGTTATTGGCCTCTGAAATATGTGGAGAAGCTCCCAGTCAATCTCAGAGAAGAAAATTCCAGAGGCTTTGCAGGTAGCTGAGTGTCTGAAACTGTTCCCAGCTTTACTGTCGTTACTGTCTAGAAGGGAAGGACCTGGAGCTGTATGAGCATGAGTGTGGGTGTAGGCCTGCTCTCCGGTGGTTCAGCTGCTGCAGCTGTTGTTTTCGGTGTCAATTGTCTGGTGCTGCGCGGACACAACTCTGCAGCTCCAGTGAGCATCTTTGTGAGCTGGATCCCAGCCTACTGTCTGGTTGCTCTGTGCATCAGGCCTTCATGGAGGAAAGACACCATCTTGGGAGGCTTTGCGTTTAAGAACTTTAAAACTGCTTTGGGTGAGGTAAATGGCCATTTGTGGCCTTGGTAACTCTTTCTTTTTCCTTGTTTGTTAAATAATTGCCATTATTGTTACTCTCTGAAGCTGAGTAGTCTTATAATTGTGTATGTGGGGCAAGAACTCAGATAGTGACCAGTAAAATATTTGGACACTTCCCTGGCCAGTTTTAGTGTCCCTTGCTGCCCTGAATCAGAATGACATGAAAGTTTAGTTATAATGAAAATCCTCATAATACCAGTAAAATAAACTATAGTATTTGTTTCATTTTTAAAGGTTTTCACCCATATGAAGGAAATACGGCTATGATTTATAACTAAAATTTTCAGTCACCCGGAGGCCACAGATGGTAATGGAACAAATTCAAGGCAGTATAGTGGTAGAGAAGATGAGAAGATGATGAAGAAGATGAAGCTGGGGGTTTAATATGCCCTTGGGACTTATTTGTTCGCAGGCTTATAGGCCCCTCCCACCTGCATTCTTTTTGCACTTAGATTATAGTTCATCATTATCATAGATCCACAGGCTTACAGTCATTTGGCATTAATATGGGTGAAACTTTCTAACAGTAGAAGACTCTTGGTGAATGCTTGCCCTTTGCCTGTTTTTACTATTAACATAACACCGGTCTCCCCCTTACTCATCTACTGCTCTAGAATTTTTCAAATAATAATTTCATGTATCTGTGGTTTATCCTTATGCCTAAACGCTAATCTTCTCTTGAGATGAGACGTGTATTTTCACTTCCCTTCTGTCTTTCAAGGTGCCTAGCAAAATGGGGGGTAAAAACATGTCAATGTTATTCTACATATATACCAACTCACTGTCTTTTCCATTCCTGATTGCAGTGATTTGTAGTTTGTAAAGGTGAACTTCCCCACACACAAGGATGAATTCACTACAAAGTTAGGATTTCAAATTGTTATATACTGGGGCATACAGGAGGTCCCTAGCCCCCTGCTACAATTGTGTGAGTAGAATGTAATGAGCAGGAACATAGGCTCTCTAACCAGACTTTCAGGGCTTG